GATGTATCCGTAAAATGCAAAGGAGTGAAGCTCCTATTAACAGACACTGCTGGTGTCATTGCTGAAGGGGAAATGGGCCCTCTGGCCAGTGATGTCATTATTAAACCTGAGAATGGTACTAGCATCAAAACAAGGTAACTCTATTAATAATGGAATGCCCACTTGTTTGACAACACCTCTCACCATAGTTTGAGTAATCTCACGTTGACTGATACAACCACCAGCACTCAGGTATGTATTATTTACTATTGAATCACATTATATGCTTCCTAATTGATACCCTGTTTGTCATTGATGCTTAGATCATATTGTAATAATAATTGGTAACCATAGTCACTTGAAATAGCAAGCATTCTGTTTAGTTGCAAATGCATGTACGTGTACATGTAATTCAGGTCACCAATTATTTGTGTGTTGGTGTGTTTACGTCAGAAGCAGACACTCAAGTATGAAATGAAACCTGTTTACGTGACAGCCAGGGCTCGTGTAGGCTAATCAATGACTGCATGGTTTTAGGTGCATTGTACATGTTGTGTACATACACACACTGTGTGTTTTGACTGTTGGTGGTACTCATGCATGTACTGGTATCGTAGAATTAGTTTAGGCTCTTAAAATGAGGTTTGTAATTATTGCTTGAGTCATAATAACATTATGTTATTTCATTATGTACATGTACTTTGCGCTATCCCTTTAAAAATAATTTTTATAGTTTTTACTTGTTGTAAAGTGTACATGAATCCTATACATGTACATGTGCTTTGAACTACATGTATGGTACCAACTACCAAGATAAAGTTTTGAGTCAGAGACGAAAATTTAGAGTTTCTTAATATTGTTATAACTTCGAACTTACAAGTACATGTACATTATTTTTAAGGCAGCTTGGAGAATACTGGTACTTAATTTTTTAAAACTATACAATGTAATAAACGTATCCCATAGTATTTTATTTGCATTTTATTATTATTAAGCTAAATTCTTTATATCCCGTAGGTCATTAGTACTGTTGCTGATCCTTTGATTGATTTTGGTCTTCAAATTTACAAAGTTCCTTCGGCTGATAATGCCGACATTGAAGTGACCGCTACTGTCAACAGGATACAGGCTGCAGTTATGTTCACATTCATCAAGAGGTTGCTATCATTTGTTAAGTCCATGAATGTTAAGAAGGAGCTGGTTGAATCAGCCAAGGAAGCCACCAATGAACAAGCTAAGAAAGCTATTGAAACAGTAAGAGAGTGACATAGTTTGATGGAATCTTTTCTTTTCTCTCTCTCACTCTTTCTCTCTCTCTCTCTCCTTTAATCCTTTTCTTTCTTCATTCTCACTTTTGTCATTCCTTTCCAGGCAAAGAAGGCCAGATCAAAGCGTATTAAACTAGATATAACAGTTGATGCTCCAGTGGTCAGCCTCTTACTAACGTCAGGTGCTAGCTTCATGGTCGATCTTGGCATTCTTCAATTATCAAACAAGTATGCACAGTCATAATTACACTCACTTCTCGCATTAGCGAATAATGTCATTTGGCTAATATGGAATGTCAGCAGTTAGCCTAAATGTACATATACATGTACATACATGTACAGGGTTGCAGACTATTTCAATGTTAATTGTTACGTATGGCACTGAAAATTTGCCAATTCAATAATTATTGCCATTATTGGGTATTTGAATGTACACGTAATTACTTTAGGATATTGATAACTTATAAATACAAAAATGCATGGATTGTGATGCTCATGTGAACGTGTGCACTAATCATGTGTCACGTTAGCAGCTAAATAAAGTCAATGACATGAAATCAGTATCTATAATAACTAATAACATTGTCTGGTTCTGTTTTCCTAAGGTTTGAGCCGGCCCTTAAGCACTACAGCAATACAGGGGATGAGCTAGTAGACGTAATGAGTCTGTCACTGAAAGATTTGCAAGTTGTCAGACGTTTCGACAAAGGGTCTCACACCATCATATCTCCAGTAACACTTAAAGGAGGAATCATCAGGACATTGGAGGCCCTTAATACAGACATACCTAATGTAGCGATTGAGTTTAACATTGACAGCATCGGTATATCATTTAATCCTGGAGATTATAACGAAGTGTTTAATGTCCTCAAGGAATTGCCTACGTCATCATCTACTAATGAGGAGTCAGCTGATACCAGGAATGTTAAGTCATTGAGTAAGACAGGGCCAACAGCTGATCCCTCATCATCATCATCATCAGGGAGTAATGGGGACTCTCCCTCTGATTTCAAACTTAACTTTAAGATGAGTATCGGATCCCTGGGTCTATCTGTGGAGAGTGACTCTAAACAGACTGAGATTGTCTCCATTAAACTAACTAGCCTAGAGTCTTCCTTGGGGCTTGACCACAGCTACATTAGAATTGGTTTCCTGTAAGTGATAGTATAATATGTATGTACATGTAGTATCTATTAATGTAGGCATGTATTATCACGTAAAGGGTTTATTTTCTTCACCACTGTAGTATTAAATCATTGGAAATTGCTGACCCACTCTCCAGCTCTTTCCCTCTGGTAAGCAATACTTGAC